AAGTCTTTAAAAGTATTTTTCTGTCAGAGGAAAAAAAAAAGTCCTAGAGGACTGATTTTGATCCCCAGCTTCAAATCAGGGGAAGGGGAGGAGGAGGGTGAGAGTGAGGAAAAGGGAAGGTGCGGGAAGGGAAGGTGCGGGAAGGGAAGGTGCGGGAAGGGAAGGTGCGGGAAGGGAAGGGAAGGGAAGGGAAGGGAAGGGAAGGAAGGGAGAATATTTAGATACACACATATATTTTTATATATTCCCTCCTCTCAGTCTTCTTAGATTTTTTTTTCCTTTCATATCACAACAAAAGGCATCTTCTCTTAGGAAATTCATACATTTCTTTATAAGATATACTTGAAAATTTTAATTTTTTCTTAAAGAAAAGTCTGGATTAGAGAAAATGATATTCAAGTTTGCTCTGCATTTCTTTCTTGATGTTACCTTCAATTTCAGGTTTGTATTTCACTGCATTTGAATAGAAAGGAAAATTAACTGCAGTGAGCCTCAGACTATTGGGAAGGGAAGGAAATGACATTTGGCATTTTAAATTTCCTGCTCCATTAAATCAAATATTTACCCTGCGGACCACGAAAATTGTATCAGGATAGTGATACTCGGATGCACTTGGACAGAATCATTTTCTAAGGGTGTGAAGTTGCTGTGAGAGATTCTCCTGAGTCTACTCCATTAGGGAACTGTGCATGGGAAGGACTCCCTCCTTTTCCTTACTGGTTTCTTTCTCTATCCTGCTCTGAGCACAGGCAATAATATGAAAGTAAGTAGAGCTGATAATTAAGTGCTTCTAACCTAATGTATCCAGACAAAAACAGTAAATGAAAATGGGGTTCATTCCTCTGGGCCAGACATAATCGGATGTTTCTTCCACTCATTTCCAGTCAGGCTCACCTCAGCTTCGACCAAAGTCAAATCCTGTGATTGTGATCCCCCTGTCACAGCAGCAGTAGAAACAGATTCTGCCCCCACATGTCTTGATGGGATTAATGTGCACTGTGAACCAGTGTTGGCCAAGGCCTCATATTTTTTGGTTCTGATGTGCCAGGCCAATGAATCCACACAGTCCTAAAGACATGGTTTTCCCTGGCCTCTACCTGGCTAAAGGTAGGGCCTCTCTAAGCCTGGTTGTCCTTCTTTCCCTGAGCAATATCTTAGAGGTTCCTTCAAGGGGATCAGCCACGTCATCATCATCATACCTGGCAGTTCGGCTATGGGCAATTGGAGCAACTTTCTTTTTGGTGGAACTTCCTCTCTGAGTCTTGCTGTCTTCCAGTTCACACAGTCATTGTGCTGGAGCAGCACTGGGTCTTCCATCCCACCTCCTCATGTTTTCCTCACAATCACGCAGGAAGAACCACAGGTCATTTCACATGATGTGCTTTCTCTCCCTATCTGGGGGCTGTCTGCATTTGGTACCAGAACCTCTGATCTGTATTGCCAAGATTTGGAGTAAGCCCTCTTTAGTTTCCTCCCTGAGTTAAGATTCTCCTCTATCTTATCTTCTAATTTCTGCAGACGTGTTTCCACAGCTGCGGTTCTTGCATGTGTGGGGCCATGCACGGCATCTGCGTATGCTTGGAGCTTCATTGCCATATCAAACACAGTCTCTTCCCTTTCATCCTGCTTCATCATTGCTAAAGCAGAAGTGTATTCTTGTGGCCCTGGTTGTACAAGTTTTCACCACATCACGGATGCACATGGTACCAAGTCTGATTCCTAGTGTTTAGGTCATTTGAGAAAACAATCTCTGCCACTGCCATTTCTCTCAAACGCTGAATCCCTTGTTCTATGGTCTTCCATTGGGTTTGCTGCATATAGAGATTGTCTGCATGCAGGTATCTTTGTCCCACACTTCTCAAGATCAGTGCCCAGAGCCTCTGAGGGTCAGCCCCCCTCATCTTTCTTTGGTCAATAACCAGATCATGTGACAGGGATCCCAAATGCCTCGCTCCAGTACCATCCAGAACCGTAGCCTCACCTGCAGCATCCTACAGATCCCACAACTAATTATAGATTCATCAGGTCGTCGGGTGTAATCCTTTCTTAGGCCACAAAGGTCCTCCAGGGAAAAGGACTCACTAGTGACTTCTGATTTTGTGTCAATTGCTGGAGCTGCTGGTCCTTCTCCTGGATCACCATTGTCCACTGGTGGATCGGTTTTGGTTTTGCACTTCTTTACTGCAGCGACTGCAGTGGCTAAGCAGTGGCTTAGGCTCACTGTCTGGTGTAGCTACAGCCTGAGTGACTGGGGTGTTGGCTGCAGCCTGAGTGACTGGAATAGCTGCTGATTTATCTTCCTATCCCCCTGTCTCTATCTGCTGCCCTACAGTATCTAGCAGTGTGTGATAACCATATGCCAGGTCCCAGATTATTGCAATGAGTTTTTCTCATTAGAGTCCTCATTGCAGTTCTCTTACAAATATATCCCCACCTCATCTGAGTTCTGAATTTGCCCACAGGGAAAGTCCCAGGTTATGAGGTCAGAGAATTCCTCCAAGGTCTGGCCCATTTTCTCCCATTCTCCACACCACTCAGCATTTTCCATCCCTGGGTCTGTTCCTGGGTCAGGGGTCTCATCAGCTCCTCTGGACATACCAGCCCTCACTCTAGACATGATGCAGACTGTATAGAGGAAGTTTACCAGATTAAATATCAGGAAAGGGATCTCTTTAATTCAGGGGAAATGAAACATTCTCAAAAAGTGACATAACAGATTCAAAGGAGAAGGAAATGCTGAAAAACCTCATCCCCTGCTCCTCCTCTAACAAACTGAGTGTAATTATTAATAAACCCCCAGAACATGCTACTGGAACTAAGACGCCGAGTAGGATGAAGAAACAATAAACCATACATACCTTGAACAAACCCCAGTATCTTTGTAAACTCCCTATAAATCATTACCACCACACCCAGCAAAATAGCAAATCTAATCTGTGCCCCTCTTCTGTAAAAGCTACGTGTTAGGGACAATACTGGAGCTATCTCTGGATAAGAAAATAAGCCTAGGGACCAGAAAGGTATTAAAACCTCAAAAAAGCCTAGGGACCAGAGATGCATGAAAGCCTTCACCCAGTGAGACATAAGGAATTCAAGCAGCATGGCTATTGCTTTTACCCCAGTACAGAGTAAGTATAACCAAAATGCAATTAGTACAGGTTTTCTCCACTTTCTTGAGCCACATGCTGGGCACCAAAAAACTATTTGTCCTAGTTTGGGGCAAATTTTGGAGGAAACCTCTGAATGGGGTCCCTCTAGAAAGCAAATTCAATCCACCCCTCCCCTCACTTGTTCAGGAGATAAACCTCCTTCAAGAAAAGTGGAAAAAAGCCCATTTATTTAACAAAGTACTAACAAACATGAAAAAATTAATAATATTAAACAAATGAACCTCTCATTGTTCTGAAGAAATGACAAATTCAAAGAGAGTCTTTTGTACTTGACAGTCCTTTTTCTGGGTGTATCCTTGGTTTTCTCTCAGTCTCTCCAGGGCTTGGGTCTCTCTCTCTGGGGCTCAGATCTAATGTCCCAGCCAGGGTCAGCTTGGGGGGCCCCCAGACAATAGTCCTGGTATTTGTGGACCAAACAGTAGCTGAATAGTTCCAAAAAAACTTCTGGACTCAGCTTGATGACTTAAGTTTTAGCTTTCATATTTTCCAGATTCTGTACTGCATTAGTTCATAAGTGAACTTTGTATAAAGTGTTAGCAAGTTCTCCTCACAGTTTAGTTAGACACAACAATCCTTTTGCAGCCTGAGAACCAAGGACACCATTGCAGCTTCAGGCCCAAAAAGTATAAACAACAGCAAACTGAGGATTGCAATCTGGGAGGATGGGACTTCATAACCTGAAGCTGTCACTGGACAATTAACCCCAATATGTAAATGGACCAAAACTTATAAAAGTGTGAAAACTCGTGACCTGTTGTCTATCTTGGGTGTATCCTCAGCCAGGCTCTTGTACTGCCCAAGGTGTATCCTGTGAAGGCCTTTTTAATAAATATCTACTTAATTCCTTTAACTCTGCCTAGCCTCTGTTCTAGGCAGCCTCTCAAGGCATCAAGCTAACTAAAAAACCTAATGAAAAGCAAAGGAGAGCTCTGTCCCGCTGTCCGTCCATGCTGCAGACAACAGAGTCCAGGAGCAGGAATGCAGAGGAGCAAGTGCAGTTTCTGAAAACAAACTGCATGCTTCTTCTCCCCCATTTTGCTCTCAGAACCAGTCTTAAAGGTGCAGAACTCAATATCCAGCATGTACAGAACAGATGATTGGGTACCAGCATCATAAAGTCACCCCAGGACACCAGGTTATTTGTATCATTCAGAAACAGAGTGGAAAAGATGGGAGTAAAACTCCCTGGAAGGAGATTGTCAGTTGGCCCCTTCTCTGAGGCAGCTACAGATAGAAACAGGGGAAACAGCCCCACGGTGTGCCAATAGGAGTTCAAGTTGGATTTTAGGAAAAAAATCTTCACTTAAAGCATGGTTGTTGGGGGAGGTTGATGAAAACTCTGACTTAAGGCTGTAGGAAAATCTATGTCATTATTGGTTAGAATTTGGTGCATTATTTTACATGTTCTTAATCTCTGGTTCTTATTGGTTCCTTATCCCCAAATTCCACCCTCAACCTACATTATGCAAGTTACTTTCTACCCCAGACCCCGTCATTTTTGATGCTTATGTGCTTATGCACATTGATGCAATGAGCTTATGTGCTCATTGTTTTAGCTTATGTGCTCATTGTTTTCTCTATTAAACTATTTTCCTTTTTAGGTCACTGAATCATGCCCATGTCTCATTTTATTTGCCACCCTTTTGAGGCCCTCTGGCCAAGGATCCTGAGGTGGCACCTGGCCAGACCATCCAGGCCCGGTGTGCTGCACATGGTCAAGCCCTGGACCAGTGGTGGAGTCCCCATCCCTGTAAGTGTCCAAAAAACGAGTAGGTGTGGGACTTCATGATAAGGTTTAGTGGTCAGGCAGTCAAAGGTTGGGCTTGATGCTCTTGAAGATCTTTTTTAACCTTCCATGACTCCATGGAATAAAATACAAAGCTAATTTGGTTTATAAAGCAAAGCTGTCTGGCATCTGTAGCATAACAGAGACAAGGAAGCAGTGTCACAAAAACAGTGAAGCTGAGACTGTAAGAAAGGAGTCCTGTCAGTGCTGTTGTTTGCAAAACATAAAAAAGGTGCTGTCCCACCAGAAAAAGTAATCAGAAATCTTATTTTTGGGGTTATTAATGAATCTGTTTACTGCAGGATCTCTGGAGGGTAGCAGAAAGGTGATGGGGAATCTGGAGTTTCATCATCCTTTTGCTTCCTGGATCACATCTTATACCACACCAATCCAATCTTCACAAAGCCGAAATGTGGACTATGAAGGAAGGGATGTGATTGTGTATCTTAGCTTATCATCTCTGTTCTGCAGTGAAAATCATCCTGTGAATGACCAGCACCTTTGAAAAGAAAGCCCTGAGATGTTAGATTTTTTGGAGGAGAAATTAGGAATTAATGTTTGGGAATTTGTCGTTATTTGACAAGGACATGGCATATTCTTGGGTGGGGTTTCTCAGTCTAATGATTGGATAAGGGGAAGTGATGCAAGAGCAAATGTCTGCTAAAGGTTTAAAGTGCAGGCTGGTTTTGCTTTGATGAAAAACAAACTTCTAGGGAATAAACTAAAGGAAAAAATATATTTTATATTTTCTACTCAAAGTGAGGTAGTATTCCCCTTAATGGCCTTTATCCACACATCTTGAGGAGAAAAATGGACATTGGACTGCATAGCTGAATCAGGTTAGCTTATAAATATTTTATGGATATCTCACTAAAAAATCTGTTTTACAAAAATTTATTAACAATATGACATAACAAAACTCTGGTAGCTACAGATGCTCATTTTAATTGCAGACAAAAAAAAAAAAAAAAAAAAAAATTAAGAAAGGAAGAGGGTGAGATGGTGAGCTACACAATTTATTTGATGGAATAAATGAGAGCAGGAAGCAAGTCCAGTGCTTTACAACCCTTTCCATGAAGAAACCATTCACAATATCCCATAAAAACCTCCCCTGGAGCAACTTGAGGCCATTTAATTTCAAACCTTGTGTATACATATCCAAGTTTTTCTTTAAAGAATAATCTGGAATTCTAAATGTTTCTAAAGACCTTTTATCAGACTTCTCAGATATGTGCCAAATACAAATTCTTCCTAAAAAAATTTTTTTTAATTAAATCTCAGATGACTTTCTTTATCTCCACAGAGGTCAGAAAGGAAGAAATAACTTCTCTAAAATCTATAACAGTTATGCAACATAAGGGATCATATTTTTTCTCCTTTATTTCTTCCATAAAACAGTGAGATTAATGTCTTTAAGTGTCCAAAGCATTAAAAACTGCAAGAATAATGGACTTTCAGGTTGACGAAGAAGTTCATATCATTAAAATGAAATTTCCCATATCAGACTCTTTCAGACTTTCCAGTTTTGCACAGAGGACAGAAGAGGTGACTTCAGTGAGAACAGGGAGGTGAGTGACCCCAGTTCTTTTCTATACCACTGGCATTGGGCTATAAATATAAATACATACTGGAGTGAATGGTTAAACAGGAAAGGCAACTTTAATTTTGAGGAAAAGTACAATTTGGAGTGTTAGCATAATTCATAGGTACAAAAATAATTGCTGAATTTCTCTGTACAAAATATTTCTTATTCTAACAGGAAATATTTTCTTCCTTTGGAGAGATATCAAACTTTTCCAAGTTTGCCAATTTCTGCCTCATCAGTGAAAAAACTGACATCATTTTTATGGATTTCAGTGACATCAATCATAAAAATATTCTGTCATCTGACAAGACTCTATAAAATTTTCTCTTAGGCAATATAAAAGGGAAAATTCTTACATTCTTCAATAATTTGAAGTATATCTGAAGCCAGTGTTGGTGTTAATATTGAGCCAGTGCAAGACTCCATGAATTTATTTCATTAAAGTTTATTGATATTATTCTGGCTTAGTAATTTATTAAAAATGAGATATCAGAATTCCCTGTGTCAATGAAGGGTTATGTTAATATAGGCTTTATGTGTTTCCATTTCTTGACCTGTCCCAGAGCCTGGAGCCTGTTTTCAGTTGAGCACTTTTTCCTTTGACAAAATCAGTTGGGAACAGGGGCAAGAAAATTTATTGTACAAATAAACCCAAATTCAGGTCAGTGTCTCCTTCACTGCTGGCATTTGTCCAGGATGGGATGCAAAGCCATAATTCAGTTTGGTACAGATTTCTTCACTGTTCCTATGAACTAAAACTCCCTGAAATTTTCCCTGGAATGATACATTTCACCTTCTGCCTTGCCCCTTGTTCTTTACCCTTGCACAGTTGACTGCCTTTAAAATCCATGCCTCTTTAATTAATTTTAGAAACTTTGTCCTAGGGACACTGTCTTATAAAATCACTTTTTCACAAGGTGAAAGAGAAAATGTGATATCCACTGAAAGTTTCCTGGGTAGGGATTGTTAATGGGGTCACTTTGGAAACTGAGATTCATCAAAACACCTCACAGTCTTCATGGCCATTAATCTATTGGTTTAAAGACCAAATTTTTGTATCTTTATCAGTGTAATAAAATATAATATAATAATATGAATATCTTTAGATGTGTTCCAGCTGCTCTCCTCAGCCTTTTCTTCACCTTGCAATAAGTTTAAAATACACAGACTGAATTCAGATGTCTTTTGAAAAGGTTTTTCCCTCCACCTTCCCCATAGCCAGATAATAAATGCAAAGTGTAAACACCAATCTACTAAATTATTGATCAAGATGTGAAAAGAAAAAAAGAAAAAGTACACAGAAATATATGTATTTTTTTTCAAATGAAGTATTGTCTGTTGAAATAATTTTCTCTTTTAGTGTGTTGATAGTGTGTGTATGTGTTCAGGCATTATTGTGTGAATATGCATGAACAGAGTAGAGGTCTGGAGCTCAAAAAGAACCCCTCTGGCTGGAAGAAATATCATTCCTGATGCACAAGAAATTCCAGGCATGAAAAATTAAAACCTGGGCTTAAAATGGCATTGCCACTGATGGTTTTAAAATATAAAATAAACAATTGTTTCTTAAATGGCACAAAACTGTGCCCTTTTGAATGACTTGGGTATTGAATTAAGCTGGAAGTCTTACTTATATGGAAGATGATATCATGTAATAAATCTAGACATACTGGAAAGAAGAATTTATACATTTAGATAAATTTTTCTTGTAAATTTTTAAACAGTGATGGGACTCTGGAGAGTTGATCCTATGAGGAGCATCAGAGGGAGTTGGGAAAGGGGCTCATCCTGGAGAAAAGGAGGCTCAGGGGGGACCTTCTGGCTCTGCACAACTCCCTGACAGGAGGGGACAGCCAGGGGAGGTCGGGCTCTGCTCCCAGGGAACAGGGACAGGAGGAGAGGGAACAGCCTCAGGCTGTGCCAGGAGAGGCTCAGGTTGGACACCAGGAGGAATTTCTTCCTGGAAAGGGTGGTCAGGCCTTGGAAAGGGCAACCCAGGTAGGTTTGGAGTCCTCATCCCTGGAGGTGTCCAAGGAAGGGCTGGACGTGGCACTCAGTGCTCTGGGCTGGGGACAAGGTGGGGATTGGGCACAGCTTGGACTCGATCCTAGAGGGCTTTTCCAACCTGAGTGAATCCATGATTCAGTGAGCAGAACATTTCCAGAACCATGAGCTGTAATAGTAATCTATGATGTTTCCATTTTTTTCTCATTTCAAGTTGATTTAACAACTCTAATGAGTTTGTTATAGGCACTGATCCCAATGGAATGTGCTTGGATGATTTCTTTTCCTACAGGAGTGTATTGGGAAAACTTCAGCAGGTCCCATTGGCACAGCTCTGAATGTGTATCTGGAAGCTTTCTCTTTGTACTTAGTTTCAAGTCAGTGTCAATCACTTCAAGGTTGGCTTCCTAAGAACTAAAACTAGAATTTGTGAAAACCCCACAAGAGAATGATCTCTGTACTAGTCATGGTGGGGATGGGGAAGAGAAGACAAAAATAGTAAAATTATTTTCCTCTCTTGATTGCAAGTGCCTTTAGATTTTTCTCAGCAGCATCTGGCATCTGTTGTATGGCCCACAACCTTCAGAGAATAATTTTTAATATGTGCGAGATGTAACTTTCCCTGAAAGAGAAAAATAAATCAAATTACGTGAGATGTTGAAAATAGTTCTTATCCATTAAGTTCCAGTCTGACATTCTTTCCTATTTTTCAAAATGGATACCTGTAAAAGGTTCATGATAATGGATATTCCAAACCACAACCTTCCTGGTATAGTGGAATCTGCAAGGGAGAACTTTGCATTTGTAATTCTTTATATACACAGCTAAGAACCATTCTCTTTTTTTCATTCACAATCCATTTTTTAGCAGAAGAGAATTCTAATATTTATATTGTCTAGTAGAAAGTGTCCCTGCCCATGGCAGGGGGTGGGATCATGATGAGCTTTACAGACCCTTCCAACCCAAACCATTCTGCAATTCTGTGATGATTCCATGGTACATGCACTGGCTTTTCCAGAATTCTAAAACTTCATGAAACTACTCTATCTCTAAATTAAGAGTTTCAGGACTCCTTAGTGTGGAGTAGTGAGTAAAGGAAAGACTGTTGGATCCAAGAAAGAAAGATTCCTAGGAAAATGAGGAAGTTTGACACAACCCATTCTCCTCCAGAGTGCGAATTCCACACTCCCAGAACCTATAAACATTTTAGTAGGAGCAGAAGGAGGTGTATGTGCAGCTATTTCCCCCAAAACCCACTTACACACCTGTTAACTGAATAAATTAAAACATTTTTTCTTCTTGTTAATATTATCTACCAATATTTTAATATTATTTTCCATCTCATTAATATTATCTACCAATAT